CAACAATTTTCAATAACTGCATTCGATACTCCAATTAAGCAAAAATTTTGCAATTTTCAAATATATGAACGAAAATGTAACTCGTTTGTATGAGCTGCATATTTCCATTTAATTACTTTTGTTCATTTTCCACTATCTAGAGGTCGACATACAAAAAATACGTGGGTACAAACTTCCCAACGCTTCATAATTGATAATTGCCCTTAAATTAACACCGCCTCTTGCCTTTTGTACATCGGAAATTTGTATCAATAAAGCAAGTTCGGGATTCTAAAATTGTAAAACTTAGTTTGCATGTAAATAAATAACAGAGATCAACGTGCGGACGTCGGGGAAACTTCGTAGATTTAAGTAAATTTAATACATGGCACAGAAAGTTTTTGAAGCCGGAGAGCAGTTACCACCTTCCGGATTTAGTATAATGTCATGTAAAGACAACAGTTTTAACTTAGTAAAAATACATATTTGTTAATTCAGGCGAGCGGTAATTTTCATTCATTTTTATTGGATCGTCAACCATTGAACCCATTTCATTGTATGGCAAAAGTTTCATTTGCATACAAACAAAAACTATAAGTGTTTAATTGAAAATAACAGTCTATTTTTAAATATAAAATTATTTTATCAGTACAAGTACCAAAATATATCGATCTGTAGTGAGCTTGGATGTATAATGCAAATTTAGTTTTTTACAAACAGAGAATAATATATTTATTTTCATGAAATAATAGTAAAGGTTCAATAAAAAGTTGGGAAATGCATGCTCATAATAGAACGCATACCCACTTTTTCGCATGAAACGTAGCGTAAATGTAAAATCAGTCATTTACCAAATCGCAGTACGACGCCTATGGGTTCTAGTATGTGCGGGGATGATGAGTGACTCATCGCCGGTGACGGCGCCCGCGCGGCCTGGAAGTGAAAGTCTCTATGGGTATTCCAGAACGACCTCGATTGCGAAACATTTAAGAAATAAATGGTTAAGTTTTATCCACGCCGATTTCTATTGTATTCAAAGAAGTTATACCGTCGGATTTTCGTGACGTTTAATGAAACTGACTTTACGGTTAGCAGACAGCTTTCAGGAAATACAAATTTTGCCTTTTGCATTCGCTATAAATTATACGTGTTTGACCACCTCGATGTTATCAGCTCCACAAAGTGTACGCAATATTCTTTATAAAATTCCGCTTCCAAGTTTCGCTGAAAGCAAACAACCAGACTGACTTTTCCTGCATCTCAAGTTAAATAAACACCCTTTGAAACCGGGCAGATAAAGTGCATTCATTCAGATTTAATTAAAACAAATTTAGTCATACAGTTTAATTAATAAAATATATTTTAGTCCTTTAATTATTTTGCAAGACTTCACTTCCTCCTAAAACGGGTTACGAAATTATTCCCTGTAAACACGGCGATTTAGAACAAGGCAGACGTAAGACAAATCGCTAAAGAAATATCATTCTTGTACTTGTTCAAAATGTTTCTTTATGTGTGTAACATTTTTCCCACTGTAAGTTCACTTTCAGCACGTAAAATTTATTTTCAGCCATTTTCGGGCTCTTTTTCACTCGCCGCAATATTTTACAGCTGTAATATTAAGAAACGTGTCTCCAGATATGTTAAAAGTGTCAAAAATCATCAACGGCTTTTGGCTGGTCGCGATAACCGCGTTTTATAACGCGTTATTGGAATGGATTTAGATACTTCGCTATGAAGTTAAAGTTGAAAATAAATTATTCGCCAGCAAATACGATGGTTATTTTAATGCTGTTTTTTATTATGACAGATACGTTAAAGTGCTCTCGCCATATTTTATTACAAGCCTTTTTATGCTGGGATTAGGTGATTTAGGAGCAAATTTACTGACGTAATATTGGAACTGAATGCTTTTTAATAATTCATACGACAGTAACTAAAGAAGTAGCTAATGTGGTTTCAAAGAAAGCGTATGAATTACTTAAAATTTTTAATTGATAAGGAAAAATAATCATCACAATTTGACTAATGACTAATTTCATATTATTTCGATCTTTGGTAACTCCTAGAATATAAAAACACAGGTCCTCCGTTTTTTGTTTGTCCGTCGTCGGCAGGCGATTTTATCGGACAGATCATTTCCGAAGCTATTTTATCGATTAGCATGATTTTTTTTGTGTAGATAGTCATCTCAGAATTTTGGAAAGTAAATCCTATTTCAGATTTAGAAAATAACATATTTCTATACTTGTGGTTTATGAATCCGTCTTTATTACACATCCAGATTTTGGAAAAATCAAACTGTAACAACAATTCTCCACAGAGCTGTAGACAACCATGCATGTTTTCAAAACTTAGGATAAGAGGATTGGAATATAGGGCAACGCAGATACTTTTAGAAAGAGTTCTTGGGGCAATTCTTGTTTAGTGAGTGCAGTGAAAACAGGTGTTAAAATTAAGGTTATGTAAAATTAAGTTTGTAATTTTATGAAAGAGCACTTTTTAAACAAAATGAATCGCACTCGACACCGCATTCGACAGGCGTATTTGATGTAATATCGATATATTCATGATTTGCTAATCTGGAATGTATAAAACTTTGACTTGTGTAATTTTTGCTTTTATTGATTGTAAATTCATGGTTTTTAACTGTTCGCGGATCTAATACAATCAAGATGTTGATATAAAACCTGTAACAGGAAATTCACTTATTCACCCATTTTTTTATATAAAATAATCTATCGTCAAGTTCTGCATGATTTTACTTAAGTTATTATTCACACTTGATATCTTCTCACTTAAAAGTTAATAATAGTTCATTTGTGGCATTATTTTGATGTCTACTGCATTTAATGTTTGTGTTGTGTTTAGTTCGTATATGATCTGTTTATGTTGTATGCGCATCCGTTGAATCGGTTCACGATGAATACTCGTTAGACTTCAGAATTAATGCATAAAATAACCTCATGTAAACTCTTGTTGTTTGAAATTGTTGCGTGGCAGAATTTAAATTTTGCTGTTTTTTTGCTGTAATATTAATTTGGCTTTGCCAATTATGGGAGATTTTAACCCTAACCGAATTCTTCTAGTTTGCTCTCCTTGCCGTTTTCATGTGAAAGTTTATCTGCAACACCGGATTTTCACCCTTAATCAGGCCATTTAGGTAACTGCAACGTTTGCGGGGATGCACATAAGCCTAAGAATCCGAGTATTGTGGCTGTGCAGGGGGGAATAGGTTTTCACGAACAGAAGCCCTTCGTGCCGCTGTCGCTACACTTCTTCGCATTCCATTCAAAATTTTAATTTTTATTTAAGATCACTTTTTCAACTTTGGAGTTCACTCGATGAATTGTCAACTATTACGAAAAGACTATAAAACCAAAATTTACCATTCGTTGTTTGGTAGTAACAGTGGTAGCCACAGATTTCTCGTTCATAATTTTTTTTCTAAAAAAACAGCTCCCAAGTAGTCGCCATCGATGATAATGTTTGGTCTAAAGCTACGCTAAGTAGCACAAGTCCCGCAGAGTTCACTACTAGGTCCTCTGCTATTCTTGATATATATAAATGATCTGCTTCATAGGATTACAGCTTCTCATGATATTCTTTTTGCAGACAATCACGAAAAACCGAGCATATTTCACTGCAACCCTTGTTTTTATATTTTAATATTCAATTTTTTTCTAAATATAATAACAACAACAATGACAAAATTCAAACAAATTCAAAAATTTGAAGTGCAATAAAAAATTTTTCTAATCCATTATTACTACAATACCGAGGAAGATCTTGTTCGTGATATTTATTTGGCATTATTATTATTACTATATATTTTGTGTTCACTTTATTGCGATAGTTTTTTTTTTCTTATAATTTTAATTGCCATGTACATACTTAGTGAATGTCGTGTGGTAAATAAATTTAGTATTATTATTATTATCATTATGTTACTGTGTAAACGAACGCACACTGCGGTGTCGCCGCCACAGACGTATGGATTATGAACTGTTGTTATTGTTAGCGGCAAAACCAAGATTACATTGTGAACTGTCAAAACAGTTAATTTGGAGTTTCAGTTATTTTCTATTATTGTAATAGGGTGTCGTGGAGATGAGGTTCCTGTCGATGCTTGTTCCTGGTTCAGCATTTAATTGTAAAACGGAAAAATAATTAATGCATTTACTAGTAATGAAATGGAATTTGTCTTCTTGGGGCTTAAACCGGGTGAAAACCACAGCCGTGCATGTTCCCACGTCTTCTAAATACGGATTAATAAATGGAATATCTATAGTGTGATTTTTTAAATTTGTGCTCTAGTTGACCAGAGCAGAAATTTAAAAATCACAATTCGACTTAAATCGGTTAAAACCGTGGAGAGTAAGAAATACTTAAATAGCGTTACTCTCCGCACGTCATAACTCATAAATAATGATATCATGTGCATCGTGGCTGAGTTAGTCCGCCTGAAACGCACTTTTGGAGCAAGAAATATGTGTACATAAATTACCATAAACCGCACACCTAATGCATTTTTTGTAAGCTTTCATCTCAGGTAAATTTTATGAAGCAATAGTTATTCACGGAAGTGTGTACATAAAATTTTGATAAAAAACATCGCGACCGTTTTCTATTACAAAAGTTTGGAGACATCATCTGCAGTATATTTCTGTCCTGTCCAAACCGGTTTTAATCTCAACTTTTATTTTTAAGTTACGTTTCCACGAAGACAAATTCTATCAATAGTTGTTCCGGAGTTGAACAAATTAGAATTTTTATAGCAGTATTCGTGGTGTTTGATTAGAGTTTTGACCACAAGCAGTTTACACAATATGCTGTCATAGCGGAGTTTGAAGGGCGCCCGATGAAATGTTTTATTCATCCACGTTAAAATAAACACATGTTTATAATCTTTCACACCTATCCAACGCGCTTTACATGCAGATCGAGGTTATGTGTATTTCAAACTGACTAATTGTGGGAATAATAGAATCATTTTGCGGGGGAAGGAAATCAATAACACAGCGATTTCAGTTCGTTATATTTTAAGTAACAAATTTAAATAAGTACTATATATTTAGCTAGTTCAAGTCGTTTTTTTTCTGCACGTGCATTTGAAAATGAGTTCCATTGTCCACGAAATGACGACTCCCATTGAAATTATATTCAAAATGTGGATGCATCCGGCGAAATTATGAGCGGAATCTTTGTACATGCCTGGAAATAAGATTCACACGTCAGGTTTCCATTTTAAAAAATTTAATTAAGACACGCTGCAGCGCACTGAACTAATCCGGAGAAACTTACCTAACAATCTTCCGATAGTTAAGACAAAGACTCCTTTAGAAACCATGTTGAGACCCACAGCAGATGAAACGTGTGCCTCTTTAGAGTATTCGGCGATAACAAGATTTTGGTTTATAACTGTTGCAGCTCTGGCGAGTCCGCATACAGCTGAGAAAACAATTAACATCGTGAATGTAGTCTGAAGAACCAATACTAAAACATTCCTAACTTAAATTTTATAACAAACAATAAAAAAGTGCATCCGCTAAAATTTACCAGCCAGAATAATATCGATTATGTGATACACAAGTAACCATAACAGCATCAAACAACTTTTTTAAATGAATCGAAAATATGTTATATATAACTCAAACTGGCACAAATAATAAATAACAATGCAGGCCCAAATAATAATTCACATATTACGACCCAGAACACCAAATAGTAAACACAAGCTAGATCCGCTTTGGTACAGTTCCCATTACCAGTCAGATAATTAAAATATGATATGTCGTTTTATTGTTATCCATTATAGTATTAATAAGGACCCCACGAAGTACTTAGGGTCGCACTAATCTATTAGCAGTTAAAGTAAAATTATCATGATAATACTTTCCGGCGATAAATTTTAGCTGGAAATTTTTAATAACCGTACATGATCTACAGAAGGCCAGGGCAAACGATCCAATAATAAAAATATTCCTGTGGGTAATCTCCATACGTTTGGTTATTAAAGGGACCACGATTCTGCCGATGAAGTCCATAAAAGACAAAACTGACATACACGTCGACGCATCGATTATTGTCATATCCAAGTCTTCTGTTAGAAAGAGAGGGAAGAAGGTGCTGAAGGAGATACTGGTGGTGTATGCAAACGAGAGACCTATCATAATGTGGACAAACGTTGGGTCTAGGAGAATGTGGAGATCAAACAGTCCGACAAATTTTTTCCAACAAGTGGTGGGCTTCTTACGTTCGGGCTCTGGCACCGGTTCGGTGGAATCTTCAACTAAAAAAAATAATTATAAAACGGGTATTACGAAAATCACTACTGATTCAGCTTTTGATTTTACATTTGTCAAATTGTTAAATTTCAAAGTTATTTTCACTCAAACGTTGATATACAGCAAAACCTCTCTACAACGGACAGCTGGACAGAATAATGAATTACTGGCGGCAATCATTTGAAAGGATTTAACATACAATTTTAAAATTCATTTTTGGGAAAACCGGTAAACCCTACAATGGATTAAATGGATTAACAAGAAAACCATGTCATAATGGGGTACCGCGGACGGTACTCAAAATTAGTTAATCCGTTAACAGTACCTGAGCTGTTTAACAGGTAAAATCTTGTTAACAAACAAATATGTCAGTTGTGTAGAGGTAAATTTCTATGAAACTTATTAAAATGGTACCAAATTTTACTGTCCGCGTCCGCTGTTAAGAGGGTGCGTTAATGGGAGGTTTTACTTCATTACAATAGCTATACACACTTTCGGTTTCTTAAAACTTGTTGAGAGATATTGATTGTTAAAAATACGTTATTCAAAAATATAAAAATTAAAAAAATTATCACATTCATCACATACATTCTGACTTGTAAATCTCAAAACGTAGTTGGAATTTTTAACATCGAAGATTCAACTTTTAAATTTTGAGATTTCTGTTTTAGAATCCGAACGCGTGGTATTTTTAAATCAGGACGTTCGACCCTTTTGCTAGAGCTTCGACCTAATTCGATGTGTGAGTTCTAAATCTTAGACTCCGTCCGTTTAAAATGTAGATTCTTCGGTATCGATTTCGCAGGCAATTTTTAAAGTTTCAACTTTTACATCTGGAAAATCCGACACGTTGCGATTTTAAAATCTCAAATCTCGATCTCTAAGCTGATAATTTTGCAAAGATTTCTTAACTTTAACTTTAGAACTTTATTTTGAAGATGATAACACAATAGGATACGCCGCTTCGAGTCAAAGAATCGCGATTTAAAAAGAGGAATTTTAAAAATTAATTACAAAGCTTCGTGTAAAAATGTGCCCTCTCTGCGCATTTCTCGGTTTCAATGCAAGGATTTCGGCGGCGCATTTTGGAGAACAGAGACGGAAATAAAGGGGAAAGTCCTTATTATTTATTATTTTATTAAAAAATCTTGTTAAGTAATGTGGAATAAAATCTAACAGAAGGCGACTTATTGTAGGTGGTGAAATTAGCTTCCGAATGCGTGTATGAAAATTTACTGTGAAAAAGCTGTGCGAATGTCTTGAAAGAGCAGAATACAAAACAAGTAAAATCTAGCTCAATAATTTGACGAAATTTATAGTTCTTGTAAACAATGGCTTTGAATGTGAGAGGAGTTGTTTACGAGGAAAAGTTTTTCTTTTAAACCACTATACCCCTATTTTATTAACAAACGAAATGAGATCTGTTTCTCGCTCATGCCGGAATGAAGTTGCAACTTGATTACGCTCAATTTTGTAATAAGTGAAAACAGAAGATGTTTAATTCAGGCATTGAAAGAGTTTTTTCCGGGTAGACACTTGGGATGGTGATATAATAAATTGCCTGGCTCATCAAGGAAAACTGGCGTAACAGAATTATTTATTCAAGTAAAGAACCGAAGATAATCAATTTTCTAAAATAAATTGTAAAATGGTAAGATTAAAACATGATGAATTAAATTACAAACTCGTTTCATTTTGCCGATTCTGCTACTTGAAGTGATTTTGCACAACAACGGGGAAAAATAGTCGCGAAGAGTTGATTAAAATGTCGTTATTAAGCGACACGTAATTGAGAATAGACGTAAAACCGGCGTAAAGAAAAGATTTTATGCATTTACAACAGCGTTAAACTTAATAGAATACATGGCATGTGAGTACAGCTCGCAGTAATGGAACAGGTTTACCACCCTTTTTTATGCAGGATATTCATGAATATTTTTTATTAGCTTGGCCGTGAATATTTCATCACCTAACCGACTGATTTTCCTTCAGCTGCTGAAGCTTTTTCGTCGAAAACAACAAAAATTTCACTAATGGACCGCTAGCGCATTAAAAATTTCAACCTATGATTCTTCACTGCACTCTAATTAATAAAAAACCAGTTTCGAACTTTTTGCGTAAATAAAATAAACCTTACTTAACATCCTTTCTTTTTCCTCGGCTTCGTTGTTTTCGTTGTCAGATGCAGAAGACTGAAATTTGTCAGCGGCCCCAGTTTGTAAATTATTAGACATCACACCTTCATCTCCACCTTTTTGACTTTCATTGATAATATCAACCGTCTCCTTATTCTCTGTTTTGTATTCATTACATATCACAGCCTCTTTATTTCCTATTTCCGCTTTAATTAAATTTGCTTCTCTATCAATATTATTATTAGCGTACTTATGTTCTACTTCAGAATGGTTCTCGTTTAACGGCAGATTATTTCCTATAACAACTGAGTTTCGGTTTCTCCGACAACTAATCCTGTCGCGAAGTCGTGAGAAGAAGCTCTTTGTTTCTCGTCTCTTCCTTATTGACACGTGTTCACTAACCGGCTATCAATAAAGATTGTTAGAAAGCAAATACAACTATTTTAACAACTCACATTAAAAAACATCGATCCGATCAGTCCGTGTAGACTCAAAGCCGACAGAATGAAAATCGTACCATCGTAGCTATAGTGCTGGATCAAGTGGGCCACCACTGGAGGCATACCCATCTGGCCTATACTGGTACCAGCCATGGACAGACCCACCGCCAAACTCTTATTTTTGCTAAAGTAGGAATTGATTATTAGAAACGTCGACGACGCTATCAAGCCTAGGCCTAAACCTGAAAAAGCGAAAACATCAAAACGTTACATAACTGCTATATGTAGCAATAAGAGTAGACACGTGTAGCTATAGCAACAAAAATTACAACAGCGTTGTTAACAGGCAAACATCTGAGGTAAAATCAGCCATAAAATGTTAACTTTGGTATCGACGAACTTAAATCTACGACAGATTTTGTACAGATATAAAACGATAAGGTTTATCTTGTAACTATAAAAAGCTTTATAAACACAACGTGCGAGGTTAAAGGTCAACAGCCACCAAAAATAACATAGCTAGCACCTAGCTGGCTGTACAAAACAATCGACAATTGATTTTTAAAAAAATCCCATTCAACTTGGCCACTTATCAAAACCGTCTCTTCAAATATTTGATATATTAAAAGTCGGAAAGTTGTTTTAAAATATATTAACCGTTATGTTAAATTACACTAATAAAGTATGATTGTAATCGCTTAACTAAACTGCATTTCTAAATACTCGTAATTTAATACGAATAGCGATAACGCTTGTCGAGAGTGTGCACGTAAGAAACTTAACTAAACGATATTTTCTACGAATTGCAATAACCGGATCAGACGAACGAATCTTATGATAACTTTGCCGGGCGGGTGCCTTTACCACTAGACTACAGAGGAGCTTATCTTTCCTCGCTTACTACTACGTATTATTGTGCCGCCACAACTTGTTAAAACAACTGTGAAAACCACCATACTGTTGGTAAAGAACCTGCGGCTCTTTTGAGTTATGTGATGCAACTTAAAGATGTTACTCTAGTGAACAAGTTTACGAAACGATTATAATAATGTTTGCGTCGTTGAGAAATTTTAGGTTTTTTTTTTTTGTAACGGAATATATTTCACGGATGTGTCGCTTGGGTAAAGGGGTAGATCAAATGGTTTATGTAAAGCGACTCTGTGTAGTTTAATGAAATTAGTACATTAATTATGGTGATGCATATGGGCACAGAACAATATATTAATTATAGTTTGTGTGCAGTATCACATGCAATTATCGCAGAGATAACTTCACTGAGGTAATTTTAATCCTTCAATTGAACAGCTTATAAGAAGCCGGCTACTTATGCTCCGCTGTTACAATTGTTAAGAAGGATTAACGAGCTTTGAAACAAACGCGTAATTTTAGATAAAATATTTCTCATTATTACAAAGTATTAAGAACTTCTAGGCACGTAAGAACATTCAGACCAAACTTCAAAGAAAACGTACACTAAATGAGTACAAATATAAAGCAACTTTTTTTTAAGCATCAATTACCTGTCAACACTCCATATCCTAAAGTGACTCTCGTGTAACTTCTTGTATACGTTGACATAGCTAATCCTGCTGAGACTAAGAGAACGCCAATTTGAGTTATTTGTTTTGTACTAAAATATTTAGAAAGTGGACTGATTAGAAATCCTGAGAAGTTGCTAACAGTACAGTTAAGACTCATTACTGTCGTCACTCCCGTCGTTCCAGCTATGCTCTCCAGCTTCGGCCCGAAAATTAAACCAAATATCGACAAAAGCGATTGGTTAAATATCTAAAAAAGAAATCACTTTACTGCAACATCCAAGAGCAGACGCTTGATAAAAGTAAATAATCGTCTGATGGCTAGTCTGCTTGTGAAAATAGAAAGCACACTCATACCTGGTAAACACTTGCGCGAAAATGTCTCGGGGTTTTACTGAATCACAATGAGATCGCTGCTCTAAAATGAAAATTTCATTTTTTATAGAGTTACTTATCGTGTTTTGCATAACATATTCGTACGCTTGTTCTACACTATCCCTACGTTTCGTACGAGGGTGTGAGTGATGGATAGATTTTTGCGATTTTAAACCGATTTAAGCACAGAAATAGTACGAAAAATTCCTAAGCTTCACTTTCCGCTAATCAATAAAACTAAGAAGAATCTTGTTCAAACAATACGTATTAGTCACGTTATGATTAGGTTGCATAAAGTTATTTATTTTAAAAGTCAACAACCGTCAGACCAAAAAGATAAAACTGCGATTTAAATCACTGTTTTAGAGATTTTTGAAACAGCTTACTTTAAGCAAAAAATTACAAATTCACTGTTACGTTCTAGTAGCACCCTAACAGATTTTTTTTTTAGGAAAAATATGAACGGTGTCCTCAAAATTCTACAACATAGTCATTTCACGCATGATAGCGGACCTAATTAGGAAACAATAAAGCTACTAATTTGTTTTGTAGCACCGTTTTGACCCTTTTTTATTACGTTTATAATATATTTATACGCAAAAATAATAAAAAACGAAAACCTCCTAGGGCAAATTACAAGCTTAAAACGTATCACCTCTGCGTGAGTAATACGGTGACGTGGGGAATTTTGAACACGTTAACTTTTAGCCCTATAAGTGCAAGTTTCATGGAAAAGAAATGTTTGTGAGTATCTTCATTATATTTGTGGTTAAAGTAGACAGAGATAACGATACACTGAACTAAGTTATCTCAACAAATGTCCACCTTTGTATCACTAACTACTTGACATCTACTATTTTGAACGTAAATCAACCGTTTTATCGCCGAGAAAGACAAAAAATAAATAGTAGTATTTTTAGCATTGTAATGACTACATAGTTATGCATTCAATTTAAATTTTTCTTATCTTAAAAGCGATAAAGTAGATATTTCTGTCGGATCAAAAATTAAACCAAAAAAAACATAAAGTGACGACGTTATGATGTCATTGTAAGTGGCATAACTTGAACCTGTCATTTTTTCTATCATAAATTTCAACCACGTACGAAGTAGCCAGAATATATAAAATCTTTTAGAATTTCTCATTACCTCTCACACATCAGTGATCTGTATACACACGAATAAACAATTTCAATAATTTAAATTTCGATAAAAGTCTTACGAATCATAATCGCGTGTGGTGCAATTGCTTCATCAAATTAATACGGATTCCACTTGTAAAGCGGATTATCTCCTGGACAGCCATCGAGAAGAAGTTTTATTAAAAATGATTTTCATTTAAGCGCTGCAAAAATTTTCAAGAGTGGCCACGAAGGGCCCTTTGGGTCATTAACAATGGTATACTTTTTCAAATTAAGTTTCTCCCTAATGAGGATATCACTAACTCACCACCCTGAAGAGGGTAAATCAGACTTTTTCCAGCGTGGGATGAAATGAACCAATAAAAAAATCTGAGGTTGCCAACTTACATTAATTATCGCAGTTCCAGCAACAACTGCCCACCCCCATCCTCCATCGGGAACTTTGTTTTCGGTGTTCATCGTGACATCACAGGGTACCGGAGCACTAATAACATAAATCACACACGTTGGTGAATGTATCACGTGATGCACACTTAATCAAACTCACCTTATCGCATAACTGCGATAGAATAGTGAGGTATCACAAATCTTAATTGTCGCAATTAAGTTTTACAGTGTAGCGGATTGGGAACGGTGTACCGTCGCTACATATATTTAATTTGGCAACAGTGCCATTTATAAGAAACACCAGAAAAAGTCTCCGCCCTGGCAATGTATGTTAAAGTTATGGCCCTACAGTTATTAATGATCTGTCAATTCACTATCCCCAGTTACATTGTTTCTGCATTATTTCTCACTATAAGAGCCGACAATATGATTTATAATTTGCCTTTGAATTATGACGATGCTGATGCGGTTTATTCTAGGATTATGTGCGGATTACAAAACAATTTTATAATTTCGTTTATCTTTTAATTGATTGAATTTCGCTCGTGTTTATTGAATTTCAAACTGATGTGTTAAACGGATTTGAACCGACATGGCAACGTCCGGGGTTTCTTCTGCCATCTACGTACCGCTAGAACAACCACAAATGTATTGATTTATTCAAACAAGACGACTGTATTGTAGCATGCAAACATCAACGTTGGAAGGAAACTACTAAACAGATTGTTATTGTTTTTGCTTTCTGGGAAAACAGGTTACTAAATTTCGTGTCAGAAGTAGGTAGGTAACCTTAACACCGTTCACATGCGGTTGCACACTACAGAGTATTGTCACCTACTGATCATCGTTACAGTTGATATGAAACTGTTATTAGTGTTATCTACAGTGAAGTGTTTATTGATACCTGTTTTGAGGTTCTGATTGCTAATTAAGTTTATCTATAGATAGTACTAAACAAATAAAAAAGTGAAAAGTGTATAGATTGAAGCTGGGTATTCACTTACATCGTTTCGTTCAGATAGCACACGTATTGGTATATTGTTTTAATACCAAACCGAATTCACTTTAATGACTATTTAATACTATTAACGGAAATGTTGAAGAATTCATGAATACGAATGCCATGAGCCATCTACTGAACTACTAACATACTTACCCTTTTTCGATCACAACACGTCTTTCCACATAACTTCCGTAACTGCTATTAAACTTAGAACTCTGATGTGACCCCGCCGAACCACACTATTATTATTACTAATTCTGTTATCGCTCAACCTTTACGAAAATCAAGAACAAGAAGTGTTGTGTACGTTATTATCGGTAACTTCCTCCAATTAAAATTTTCGACTCTGTGAGTAGATTTATCAAAGACAACTCCTAATTGGGTTATTCGCCAAGTTTGGAGTACTTACTTACCCAAGACTAATGCCTGTAGGAAATTAACGTTAAACATCTTTAATAATATTATTTGAGGAAACACCAGAATCACACTTCATCAAAAGTAAGTTCGAGTGAATTCACACTTCACTGTAGTGGCCTCGAATTGATTTATGCACACTTTATGTTTACGTTTGATGTTTAATTTTCCATGTAGAACACAATTCTGCTTATTGTTGCGTAACTGATTCTATTACAAATCTATTACCCACCTGCAACCGAATCGCAAATCGTTTTATCTCAAAAGTAACACCGATAAACGTATTCAAAATTACACACACCAACGTAAACATTTTGTGTAATTATTCTCCCGTGGGAACTTACAGTCGGTGATTTGTATTAACGAAACATTCATTCTGTCGGTTCGTCTCAAACAAAATACCATCCATGCCGGTTTTGTTGGGTCGTCATTGTAATAACACGTACAGCACCTAAAGTGGACACAACCGAATAGCAAGAGCAAACTTAACTAACCTTCTCATACTAAGGTTATCTTCTGGTATTTGCAATAAAACAGTACTGTGTGACCTCCGATCATCATTTCAGCTACAAATGCACACTCCATTTACTAATCATATACAGACATGTAGTGCATGGTTTGGCACCCTATTGAACACGAACACCCCCCCCCCCCATATAATACATAAAACACAATATTGTATAACGTTAACAAAATTTACTTTCCTCTCTTTTTCAAATGATAAACTCAAAATATTGTTTAGTCGCGCTTAGCTCACTGTGGACCTTAAGCACGAAACAAATAGTAAAAAAAATCTTAGACACAGTGCTACACTCGGAACAAACTCAGAATTTTACCATGAATCTGAAGAGCTCCAATGTAGTCCACTGAACCACTTCTTGGGAATTTCCAAAATTATGTCCTTTGCAGAAAATTCATCGTAGATTTTTGTCAGATTTGGAACTATTCCATGAACATCTTTTGATGACGTTACCAGTGGTATTTCTAAACTTATTGTTGTTTTTAGAGCTGAAAATTGTCATTTATCGACTCCGTTGCCAAGTTGCCGCTGATAGTAATTTTGCCGTCTTTAAAGGAGTGGATTTAAGTTGATTACTACAAAAATTTACCATTTTAGACATGTTTTAAGTTTCTTGTTGTCGAAATAAGTCTACACATATTAAGAAACAAAGGCAAAATGTAGCCCCGCCCACCCGCCCTATCTCAATTCTGACGATTTTTTTATTCGTCGTAAGCAAAGGGGATGGAGCTTAAATGCAAAATCCTTGATTCTCTACGAAAAATTAAAAACATGTTTTCCAATATCGTGCTATTCAAAGAATGCTGTGTATATTTAGAAAAAATAAAGCCAAAGATTAGGCCCTCCCCAATCTCAATTCTCATTTGTGATGAAATTTTCATTCGTTGTCAAATCGAGGGGCGGGGCTTAATTGCAAGATCCATATTTGTCATCAAGAATTTACCATTTTAAACATGTTTCGAGTTTTTTGTTCTGAAAAGACGACTACGCATATTAAGAAAAAAGGTAAAATGTAAGCCCCACCCACCCGCCCCACCTCAATTGTGATGATTTTTTAAATAATTTATTAGTTCTCTACAAGAAATTGACATATTTGTGAGTATCGTGTTATTCAAAGAACCCTATGTATATTAAGAAAAAATTAAACCCGAAGATTAAGCATCACCCATACCTGCCCTGATCTAAATAGTAATGAAGTTGTCATTCGTTGACAGACCCAGGGGCGGAGCCTAATTATTGCAAAATCCATATTTCCTTACAAAAATGTACCATTTTAAACGTGTTTTAAGTTTGTAACAATAAAAAAATCATCACAATCGAGATGGGGTGGGTGGGCGGGGTGTATATTTTGCCTTTGTTTCTTAATATACATAGTTTTCTTTGAATAACACGATACTCAAAAACATGTTTTAATTTTTTGCATAGAAATAAGTATTTTGCAGTTAAGCTCCGCCCCTTTGGTTCACGGCGAATAAAAAAAATCGTCACAATAGGGACAGGGCGGGGGGGCGGGTTTAAATTTAGCCTATTTGTTTAATATGTGTAGACTTCTTTTCATAACATGGAACTTAAAACATATTTAAAATGGAAAATTTGTATAAGCTCCGCCCCATAATTGCAAAATCTATATTTCCTTGAAAAACCACTTTAATTATGTTTTAAGTGTCTTGTTATGAAAAGATGGCTATGTATATTAAGAAAAAAAAAGGAAAAATATAACCAATATCTCAATTCTGATTTTTTTTTTATTCGTCGTAAGCTGAGGGGTGGAGCTTAACTGTAAAATCCTTACTTTCCTACGAGAACTTACCATATGTTCTTATGTAATTGTGTTATGCAAAGAAAACTAAATGTATTAATAAAAAAAGGAAACCAAAAGGGAAGCTCCACTAAATTGATCACGTCTCGATCTCAACCGTGATGAATTTTTCATTAGTTGTCAGACCGAGGGGCGGAGTGTAAATGCAAAATCGATATTTCCCTATACAAATTTACCAACATGTTTAAGTCCTGTTTTTGGCTTGTTCAACGTATACGACGTATATTAACAAAAAAACAAGCCAAAAGTTAAGCCCCACCCATAACCACCCCAAGCTCAATTGTGACGAATTTTTCATTCGTTGTCAGACAGAGGGGCGGAGCCTAATTGCAAAATCCACACTTTTCTACAAAAGTTTACCATTTTAAACAAGTTTTACCTTTCAACAAGGGCAAAATGAAGCCCTAATCTGTTTTTAAAACAAATAGCAATAAATCTTGTTGATTTAAACCTAGAACTATCTTTAACAATGCTTAAAAAAACCGACGTCAACGGCAACGTAACGGCGTAAGTTTAAAGTTGGTCATCTCATTTTCTCGACCTTTCATGACCACTAGAGTACGAAGAAATAGGGCTCTCGTTTTTGTCTGTCTGTCTGTCTGTAAGTCTGTCTAACGTCCCGATTTTCTTTGTAAGTGTTCTTAAGCTGTGCGAGTGAGTTGTCGTCGTCACCCCTTGTTGCTTGGTACTCGGGACGGACTGCAGTGGCGTCTCTTATACCAGTTGACCACTAATTCCGTTTACCGAACAGATGGAATTGAAAACATGATCCCGCCCAAGTTCAGAGTACGCTTGGACGCGCACTTTGTATGCTTGCACGTAATCACTCCATGTGTTCGGTAAACGGTAAAACCAGGTTCACTAGATTTGTTTTTACGTGTAATAATACATGAAATTAAATGAAACACATGTTATTTTAAATTTTATTAATCACTATAATAGAGTAAATGTAGAATACACAAGTTAAAAAAAATAACTATATATGGTAATTAGAAGGGGATATTTCTTTACATAATTAGCGGCAACATTTAACAATTAATTATTTTGGAACAAATTGTTTCTTAACTCCACTCTTCTTCGGAAATTTGTTTTTTGGTTTGCTGTGGTTTGGAATAATCATCCTATTTGTGCATGTTATAATAACGTAAATACCAGCTTGTTTCGAGCTGCTTTCGTACTTGACGGACTTTGTTGGTTTAAAAGCTCGTGTATTGTTGGATTTCCATCGAATATCTCACAATAAATTTAGAGAGCTGAAACCCTTATGCATCGACCACAACAAATCCTGTGGTTACGATAATTCTACTCGTTTTGTACTAATCCAACTATTTTGGGCGTCGACGAATCCCAACCATCTCACGTGAAGTTTATTAGGTTCTTTTAACATTTATCGACAAGTGACACACTTTGATGACTTTCTACATTCCACAGAAATGACGTAATTAAAAATTTTTGTATACTAATAAAATTTTGCAATCTAAATGTAAACTTGTTCTAGCGTTTGTACGTATTCAGCTAAGTTTCGAAACTAGTTGTGTTAGATTTTGAATTTGTTGCATACTTCGGTAGACCATTAAGATATGTTAAAAGCTTAAAGGACCTCAGGATTGACCCTTGCGGTGTACCGCAACGACTGAATTTAACTTGGGACGTAATATCTTGACAGTTAATCCTGTGATGTTGATTTATTAAGCGTGATTTGATCGTGCACAGATAATTTTTGTCGTATTACAGTTGTAACTTACGTGTAAGTTTTGATAATGGCGCCACCTAGTTTTAATGTAATAATGATGTTTAATTCACCCATACATTTAGTATTTTCATGTTGACTACTAAATCACACAAAAATATGAAAAACGATGCACTTGTGGTCTCTCTTATCTCAAACCGACATTTGTTTGTCTGAAGATAGTCGCATACTTCCTTTTGTATAAATTATAGTCGTGACTGGCAATAAATTCAGTCCGTCTGTTTTGTCGATTAATTATAAATTAAATTCGGGAATAAATAATGGAAATACTTTCTCTCGAAACGAATTTAAGACCTCGTAAGTAAGATTGAAATCTTAAGTTTTACACATTAAGTAGTAAAGCGGTTTGCATAAATTTGCTCGCAAACTTCTGGCAATTATTCAAAAGTGAGTTAAGTCAAATGTCTACAAAGCTGTCATTTTGTAGTTTTGCGACTCGTGTGTCGGATACGTTTCATGATAACGTTGAAATTGACTAAAAAAAGAAACTACGAAGCGTCGTTGAAAACGCAGCACGCACTAAATACTGGAACATTTCATTTAAATTCGACTCTTGAGGGAAGTTGAGCAAGACTTGGCGTAGTGTCCGGGGAGTTGATACAATGCAGTCTACGATTTCTTTAGCATAAGT